GGGTTAACGTGTAGTAGGAGGGAGATGTGTGTCAATAAGCMCGGAGAATTCAGGGGTCTGGGTGTTGCTATGATCACAATCCTTATATCCTCCCAAATTCGTATGTTGCAACCTAAACCTCCATGTGACAGGATGAAGAGATGAAGCCTTTTGGAAGGTAGTTAGGTTGTGAGGATTAGTGACCTTATAAAAGGGGTCTGCTCCTTTCACTATGTGAGCACACAGAAGGTGCCATTTATGAAGGAGGAGTCTCCACTAGACACCTAAACGCTGGCACTTTATTCTTGAACTCACCAAACCTCAAGAACTGTGAGCAGTAAGTTTCTGCTGTTCTTAARTTTTCCTGTCTCAGACATTGGGTTATAACTGCCCAAAGGGACAAAAGGAGGGGCATGCCAAGGGCCATGTGCACAGTGAGTCAGGCACTCCTGGGACACAGGATGGGGGCTTTTTGGAGAAGGAAGTGTGGGATCCAGGTTTCCATCAGAAGGAAAGTGCAAATCAAGACACGCCAGCCAAGATGCAGACCTGAATCACCCTGGAGGAAGGGACAGGTGTTGACAACTTAAGATGGTGGGGTCTGCCTACAACTTCAGAGGGTCACAGAGCCAGTGTGAGAGACAGGACACATTTTTAAATTTTAAAGTATGCTTCTTTTTATTGGTGTGTTATAATTATATATAATAGTGGGGTCCATTAGCCACAGTTATACATGCACATAATATAGTTTGATGAATCTCATTCCCCAGTACCTGTACCTTCCCTTTCCCTCCCTTCTTCTCCTTCCCCAGTCTGCTTCCTTTACTCTACTGAGCTCCCTTTCATCATCATCATTATTATTGGTGCATTATAATTGTATACATAAGCAGTAATCATTGTGGTACTTTAATACACAGACATAGCATAATTTGGTGGATTATGTTCYCAGTACTTGCCCTGCTTCTCCTCATCCCCTTTCTCTATTCTATTCAATTCCCTTGTATTTTTGTGAGATCCCCTGCTGTTGTTTAATTCCTTTTTTCTTCCCCTCCCTCTAGCTTTAATATATGAGAGAAAACATTTGACTCTTGACTTTCTGAGTCTAGCTTATTTCACTTAACATGATGATCTCCAGTTCTATCCATTTACCTTATAGCTGAGTAAAACTCCATTGTGTGTATACACCACATTTTCTTTATCTATTCATTTATTGATAATCACATAGTCTGGTTCTATAATTTGGCTATGGTGAGTTGTGCTGCTRTGAACATTGTATGCATGTATTACTACAGTATACTGATAAATACCAAGGAGTCAGATAGCTGGGTCATATGGTGGTTTCATTCACAGTCTTTTGAGGACTCCTCATACTGCTTTCCAAAGTGATTGTATTAATTTGCAGTCCCACCAACAATATATGAGTGTAAATCTCCCCACTGGCATTCTCACTAGCATTTTTTATTGAAGTATAATATAGTGCACATAAAATCACACAAATCATCAGTGAATGTTCACATCCTTGTAACACACCTAATAACCATTGTTCTGAGTTCTAATAGCACATGTCAATTTCACCAGTTTTTGTTCATTATGTAAATGGAATTCTATGGTAAGTACTTATTTGTATCTGGATTTTTCAACTCAGCATCTAAATTGCCAAAATATTCATTCCACGTCTGTTGGGTATGCTATGAATTCTTTTGGCTCTCTATCCAAACATGGTGTTACCAAATCATGGGTAGACTGGGAATATGCTTCGGGTCCCATCAAATTGGGATTGTATCACATTCTTCTAAGCAGGACAAGGATGTTGATGGCAGGGAGCTGTATCATGTAATGATTCTTTGATTTGATCTCAAGCACTAAAAAACACAGCTTTGAACAACTTAAGGGATGAGGAGACAAATACCTACTGGTATTGACATAAAGCAAATATCTAGAACTGGGACACCCATACACAGGAGGGCAATTTAGGTTCAAGGCTGGTATTTCTCATGGTTTCATTTTCTTCCACTGATATAGGGCTTCTCTGTGTAGTGGAGAAGAGAGCTGACAAAAATCCCTAATTTCTTAGTGATAGGTTAGTGATGGTGGAAGAAGATGGCTCTTCACCCCAGAACATAAAAACTCCAGGAATGAGATTGCAGCTGAGTGGAAGTGACATGGTTGGCCAGAAGGTCCTGGGGATCATGTGTTACAATTGGCTGTCTCAACAGATCACAGGTTGGGAGGGGAGGAGAAGTTTATCCAAAGAAAATACATAGCAGATAAATAAGGGGAAGGGGTGCTGAGCAGATGAAAACGACACCTGTTCACCAGCCTGTGGAAGTTAATGACCACCTTTACCAAGAACTGGTGCTCTACTAGGTGCTTGGCATATGCTATACATTTTAATACTCAACAATACTAAGTGCAGATAGTATTATCTCCATTTTAACTTACATGGGGAGTAATAAGTTATTTCCAGAAGGAGGTACCCAGTCCCTAGATTCTGATCTTAGGTTACACAATAACCAGAAACTCTCACCCCAAAACATCTGTAAGCTTCCTTTTCTTCTAATTGGATGAATGTGGGTAAAGAGCATATATTTAAATTAAAAAAATTAAATATCCCATCTTTTGCACTTTATTGAGAATTGTCATTAGTAGTGTTTCTCTGAACCTCAAAAGAAAATTCAGGATTTGGATGGTAACTGGAGCATGAGCTCCATGGATCGTGCCACAGTGCAGGTGGATGAGGGCAATGTGAGCTATGGGCACTGCACAATGGGAAGGAGGTCTGTGGACCCTGGCCATTCCTGCCAACTCTGTCATTTTTCCCTGGAATCTGGTTTATGCATTATTTGCTGAATATTTGAAAATCATCTTTGTCCTAAGGATTCAAATTTAAGAGTTCCAATGCCCAAGAAGCTCACAGCTATGGGGAGGAGAGACAAGTAGTACATTGTGACAGTATATTTCCCAGGGACATGAAAAGTGTGGGGAGATACCTAACCTAGTGGCCATGGAAGGCTTCACAGAGGAAGGACCACCTGAGCCAGGTCTGTAAGGATAAGGAGAAGGGTAATGATGTTGACATTTACTTTGAAGCAACTAGATGGAGACATGATGTGCAGATTGATGCTTATTGTAGGGACATTTGCAGTTTGTACTCCAGGTCATTTAATCAGAAAGGTCTCATTCCAAAGTCAACCCCAAACCTCAAAACCCAAGGGAAACCAGAAGCCTTTTTAGTTAGGAAAGAAATGCTAAGGATGGCTTTTCAATGGGTGAACTGTTGGCTTCTAAATTAGCATGATAAATGATATAAAAAGGTCTTTGATGAAATTTGTGATGTTTAATACATATTAATTGAATAAACACTGGCTATAGTATTTGAGTGCCCTTTCCTACCTCTCCATAACCAGGGTGTAAGAATCGACTGAGGCTTTCAGCCTGGTCTCTTAGGCTGGTGCCCAAGACTTGATGTCTGAGTGATTAGGTTAGATGATTCTGAATGCTGGTGACATTACAAGGCTCATGGGATCATTTCTAGAACACTGATGTGTCTGCTTTTGGTGTACCTGTGATGTAAAATGGATGTCAGATTATCAAAACGGTATTACCAAACTCACAAAAAAATTAGAACAGTTTTATACCTGCTTGTCAAAGTGTGTCCTGTTAAAAAGTATCTACACGTGGCTGAAATTAAATCCTAAAAGATGCTTTCATCATCATCATATGGTGGGGATGTGGAGTTTGGGGCCTGTCTTTATGTGCCAAGCAAGATTGTGTATGACCAAGTTGGTTTAGGTCATTTTGCCACAAGGAGCTGAACAGGAGTGATGTGGGCAGAGAAGAGGCCCCACAGGAAGAACACAGGGACTAGTATGCAGGTGAGTTCTCAGGACTTGCAAATGGATGGGTGGGCCCCAGGATGTGGTCCCCTGGGGAAGCAACAAATGAGAACTTGTGTGGATGAAAGAGGGCAATGAGGCTGATAGATTTCAGTGCCCTCATGAGTTTGGACTTTATTGCCCAAATTAGTGCTATTGAAGATGTGCCCAAAGATCACCACATCAGAATATGTGGGGATGGCACCCAGATTCTGCTTTTAAAATAAGCTCTTCAGATGATTTTTCATCCCCTAGAGATTAAGAATACCATTCATTAAGCCATTGCTATCAGCTTTGCAAGGTGCCCATCAGGGGGATTTGATTGGTGGTGTAGCCAATAGCAGGAGGTAGGGCATGAACGACAGGTGACAGATTAAGAGATCTAGCCACTGGTCAGCAGATTGTGGGACAGTCCAGATGATGGTGCTAAAAAGAAGGGAGGTATTTCAAGACATGTTAGGTACTAATCTGCTGTTGGAGAGATTGACAAGTTATGAAAAGGCCTGGGTCAAGGGAGCCAGCAGGGCTAGGTGACTGAGATTTCTGGGCATAGGATGGACATTGAGAATAGCCAGCCTTTCTGGGCTTCTGGTGGTCAGTCTTTTTGGTTGTGGAAATATAGCATTGCTTGTAGTTCTGTGCATGCCTGGGCTGCTGCCTCACCATCCACACCAAATTGCATAGCTGATGTCTCTTCAGCAGTGCTCCTGCTATCCACCTTGCTGTGGTCAGCAGCTGCTCAGCTCCTCTAAGTCTCTGGGCCCCTGCCTGTGCCATGCTTGGTTGATGATGAATTTTTCAAAGCATGGTTTCAAATGAACATAGCATCACTTGATAATATTAATGCCAGAAGTTATTATATCCTTCACCATTTAGCTTCTTTTCAATACAGTTTAAAAATAATCCAAAAAGTGAAGTGTGCAGAATAAACAAGGGCTGTTTCCCTAAGGTCACTGTTGCCCCAAATCCCTGCCAGATGGCCAAGCAGAACAGCTCATGTTTCATCAAATTATAGACCTCATTAGGACTTTGTTTCATGTTTTTAGATGCTAGGCCCTTATATCAAGCAACGCTGATTCTTTACACTTGTATGACAATATAATGAATGCATGTTAGTGAAGGATCCAGTGAAATGTGAAACAATCCGTGAATTCTTTGCATATTTTATTTTCTTTTTTTGTTTTTTTGATTTCCAACTCACACACATCTGGCATATTTTACATCTTTGCAATAAAACATGGTTACAATAGCTTAAGGAATTTATATATCCAAAATATTTCACCATGATCTTAAGATGAAATGAACTTGTCTTCCAGATGTTCAGTATCCTCCCAATTCTAAGCTATAAACTCAAGATATTGCTTACAGCCTGGTGATGAATAACTTAATCATTACACTGATTCCCCATAATTTCAGAATTTCATAAATACAAACAACAATGAAGAAGGAATAATTCAGTGCTAAAACTTACTAGTACAAGGTGGATAACAAATAAGTAATCACATCAATAAATAATGATATGTTTCTGGTGCAAAGTGCCAATACAAAGAACCCATTATCTTGTTTTATCTTTTTAAATAAATGACTGCAAGTGAGTGTAAATTCTGAGAAAATTACATTCCTGTAACATGCCTCATAGCCCTACCGACACAATATGTACATCTATGACAATACAGTCACCAAATATACAAAGAAGAAACATGAATAAAGTGTATATACCCCTGGGTGTGTAACTTGATCAGTACAAGGTATGGAAAATCATTTGACGACCATCATTTTATGTCATAAAAGATGAAGTGGCTTAGGCTAAGAATGTGGCTTTAGGTGAGAATTTCACAAGAACCTAAAAGAATAACTTCAGTTATTGTTGTAATAAAGTCTGACCTGTTATTAAAGAAACTAAGCTATTTAAGAACCAAAGAGGGAAAAATAAGTTAGCATCATTCTCCTCTCCTAATGCATACACACTAAGCCAGTGGGATGACTCTGGAAGAGATGCCCAGGTGTTGGGAAGTCATTACTATGGAACTAATGATCATGACTCCTATTTATACAATAAAAACCAGGACCTCATCCCTAAGCCCCCTTTCTGCTGTGTCTTCAAATTATAAAGGGTAGGGCTGAATTTTCTTTGTATAAAGTACCAAACATGGCAAATAATGGCTTAGTATCCAAATGCTTTATGAGCAAATTTCACTTAGAAGGGATGAATTTAGATTAAAAAGTGCAAACCATATTTTGGTGAAAATGTCAAATATTACTGATAGAGCCCAAATTCAACCCTTTTGTACAAGCTGCGTCCTTGGACAGATCTTTCTATTTCATAACGTGAATGCACCTGTTCCATTGAGACATCAGGAGTAAAGAACATGCAAGTTGTAACTCCACAATAAAATTAAGAAACGTTTTGTTCTTTATACAAGGTTTTACTTTTACAAAAGTATCCCTTTAAATAAGATGCATCTGATGTACAAAGTATCAAATGTGTTTTTTTTTTTCTCAGCTTGAAAAGAGGCTGGAAATGGGATGCAGGTTAGGTTCAAAGCTTCAACTTTGTAACAACTGAACACAAGGTTCCTCAGAATTGTCAAAAGTCTCTTGTGACACGTCCTACAACCTTTTCTCAATAAACAACAATATATGAAATAATTACCAAAACATCTCCTAAGTCATATAATTTACATGATACAAGCTTGCTTGGTAGCAGCTGGTGTTCAGTTCTGAAAAAACACACAAAGTAAAATGGTCGCTGACTACGATGTACAGCTATTGCTGGGTGTGATGGGATGTACAAACAGAGGCCGATGTGGACGAGGTTCTTCCACCAGAGATATTGCCTTTCCATGCAGCACTTGTGCTCTCAGCTTTAGCTTGGCTTGTGGTTCTTCACTTCTCTTCAGTATCTGTTCTGATGCTCATAATGCCACCGATTAAAATCTATATTAAAAGCTACAATGCTACCAGAAGCCATGCCAGTAATCAGAGTCCTGGAAAAGCACAGACATTATTTCAGAGTGACATGAACTCATCCAAGTGGTTGCTATTTTATGTTAGATGGTATCCTGATCTTGAACTTCACCAAATCTTTGCTTTGTGTGGAGATTAGACTAACATTTCTTGGGGGTTCTTTGGAGAGCAGCCTAATCAGCCCTGATGGCAGAGCCTTGTTGGAGAACATTAGACAACCCCATGGTAACCAGGGTTTCCAGGGTCACCCAGGCACCTACCACCTCAGCAATCACATTCATGCTTATCCACTTCCCCTTTTTTGACAACCACTGGCTTCTCTGAGGATTTCTGGCTTCTCTTCCCATTTTTGTGACCCTTCTTTCTTAGTCTTCTTTAATCTCTAAACTGTCACTTCATACACCCTCCTTATGCATGGGCTTATGCAATGACAACTCTTTCCGAAGCCCCCGATCCCAAATTCTCCTTGCCTATTGAGTGCCTTTGCCTACTGGATGACAACAGGATGCTTCACAAACCTCTCAACAGTTGGCACCCACCCTGAGCCACTGTCCAGCTACTGATCTTGTGATCACTTCCTTCCCTCTCCCTTATGTCTTCCAACCAGCCATCCAGCACCAAGGCTTCTTTTCTGTGACAGTTCCAACCAGCCACATTGCCACTGATGGAGTGCTCACAACCTGTCTATCCCAAGCATTGTGCAACTTTCAATATGACCACTCATCAGATAAATACTTTCTTGAGTATAAATCCCCAATATGTGTTTGTCTATCAATTCATAGTTTCTATGTATGCGCTTACTGTTCTAATATATCAGAATATATCAGGCACATTATAAAGCAGCAAAAATAAGAATGGAATTAAAATAGAAATAGAAACCTAATCTGTATTTTTCTTCACTGCACTTGGAGACCCTTCACTTTACTGTGACTTTGAATATGCTCTTTCATTCGCTCTCTGTCCAAGCCTGGTAAATGGATGGGTAAATTCTGAAGTCTGTCCTGCCCTTCCCAGCCCTAAGAAGGACTTGATTGCTTCCTTTTTCTGTAATTCTGTTACTTTCTTTGCTCAAATTATGATTATGTGAGCTCTTTGGGGTCAGTAATCTTGTTATGTATTCTTATTTGTTATGTATTTAGTAATATTGTTATGTATTCTTATTTGCAAAATATTCTACCTTTGACAGTGGCAGCAAATGTTTGCAAAACAAATATGTGAATAAATATTGGGGAGAATATTTAAATCACTTAAGAACATAGAACATTTAAAACACTTTACAAACACCCATGTACCTATAACTAATTACAGAGTAAATCATTCTCATTTATTCCTGATTATGCCCTGGAGTACTTTGGAATACTCTAATGATAACCTTAAACTTCCTTTAAAAACAGTCTGGCTGCAGACCACATGTCCATTCCCGAGTCTAAATTAAGTTACTTTGTTTTTCCTGATGACTTCAGTACCATTTTATTGTATTGTAAAGATGTTTTGTTAAATTTATTATCTGTCTTAATATTTAAAATATTTAGAAACCCATATTATTATAAAATACATTTCATATATTTATTTATAGTTGAAAAAAAGTTGGTTAGCAGGCTTTTCTTATTTCCATTAAATATATAGAAAACAATGAGATATTCCATGCTAATTTAATATCATAGGGTTCTAGTTTATTTTTAAATTTAGAAATGTTAACTAGTTATATTCCTCATATTCTTTTCACTTTATAATAAGCTCAAAGGTGAATTTTAGGAAATAAAAAAAATACTGTGAAAGAGAAGTAAAGACCAAGGAAGATCATGCTAATTAGTACATATTCCTGTCAACTCTTTCCATGAAAGGATTAAAGTATTTTAGAGGAATATATAAAATACAATAAAATAACATAAGTGAGAAATAGGTAAGTAAAAGGGGGGAGTGTAGGATTATTTCAGGTAATGACTGAGCCCCTTGAACTTTTTAAAAGGGGGCCAGCTGGAGTCTATAGTATGCATTTTGATTAGTTAGAGGCAGGCCTCACCCTGAAATCAATCTCTGCTAAAAAAAAAAAAAAAAAAAAAAAAAAATGTTTCCTTCACACAATCATAACCAGGGAAAACTGGGACGAGGTGAGGGTCTGAGAACAGAGACACTGGTGGGAGTAAGTTCTATGTCATAAGCCCTTAAGATGTGTCTGAGGTGCCCATTTCTTCAACAGACCCATTTCTGGTGTTTCTCCTTATTTTCCTCCTCTATTTCCTGCTTATCATAATTGTTTCTCAGAGTATGTACTCCTTCCCCCATTTTACCCTTTCTTTCACTAGTCCTTCTTCCACTTGGACACTGGGATCTTATTCTAGCACATTCCACCCTGGGTAGAATGCCCAGAGCTTACCATGGCAGTTCCCAGTGGTTATACTCATCCCTGACATGGCTCACCTCTGGTCATGGGACAAATCCATTGCTCTAATGCCAGCATCACATCCAGGGTAAATGTAGAGCTGCTTGAAGTCACAGGCCTGCCAGACCTCCACCACACCATTGTCCCCTCCAGTCACCAGGTTCTGGCCATCACTGCTCAGGAGAATGGCCTTGAGAAAAAGACAGAAAACCAAACATTTCTTTCCATGTTTTCACAATCAGTGGTCAATACTGAAAAGCATGTGGTCCATCCCCCTTATAGCAGTAGTCTTCTTTTAGAAAATTGTTCAAGCTTTCTAAAAGCTTCAATATAGAATTTGTCAAGTTCTTACATAGACAAAGAATCTTATTAAAATCAAATTAAGTTACAAAATTATGAAAGTCCCAAAGACACTATTACCCATCTAATTTAGGAAGAACTTGAGAATTAATAACTTGATGTTTTGTTAAATTCTGAATGTCAAAAATGTCTAGACTTTAAGAACAAACAGCAGAAGTATATTTCAAAACAATTTTTAAAACTGATAATTCATTTGTGAATAGAGGGCAAGTGGGTACTTTTCAATTTGGTTTAGGATTATAAAGGTAGGATTTTTCAACAATAAATTTATATTCACTATTGTGAGAGTACAGTGTAGAAACAATGACTTGTAGTAAAAGGAACTTTAAAAAAATCTCCTTAAGGGCCTACCTCTAATTAAATAGAAACTATTATCCCTGAAGTCTAATTCACTGAGTTAATTACCTGGGACTAAAGGAGTTTGGGGTTTGTTCAATGTATTAGCCTACCTGAATTTATGTACTTTCTAAATAAGTACACATTAATATGGATACCAGAGAAGTTATATTATGAATCATTTAATGTAAAACAACTAATTTTTAATCTCTTGGCTTCCATCCTATTTAGCACTGAACGTGCAGATTTACCCGTGTTGAATCATTGATCTCCATTTGAGCCAGAAGTTTCCCATTAATGCTGAAATTGCTGAATCGGCCTCGTTCGTAGTATATGATACAGTGGCCTTCACTGGATACGGAAATCAAGCGTGGGAACAAGCAGTTTTCTGGTCCTTCAAGGGCTCTCAGCAAATCTCCAGTGATGGTGTGGACAAGGCAGGGGCCCTCTGCAGAGTGGGATACCAACGCCCATGGTTAGTTAGTGATAACAGACCAGACATTGGCTTTCACCAACCTGAAAACCTTAGCTGGGCAGTACTCAGATTTGTTCAAAGAAGACAGAAAAAGAAAGGGGTTTGCTGGCTGGAGCCAAGTACTGAACTTATGAATAGAGGAAACAGTGACTGTTTAATCACACATGCACATGCACCTACAACACCCTCCCACTTTTTATGGTAAACGTGTATTTTGGGGTAAACACTTGGTCTTTTCCTTTGTCAGAGAATATTCATAATAAAAGGACACAGTTCATAAATTATGTGAGAACAAAAGATCAGATGTACCAGAACATTATTCCTAATGTGCTTTCAGAATATGTTCTTGAAAGTCTGAGAATTATCACGACAGTTGCTAGTCATTTCCAGTGGCATCAGAGTTTTAAGGCTATAACTACATAAATCATATTAAGCCAAGTAAGTTTTACCATTTTCCGTAGTTTATACATGAAATGTAAAAGCAAAATTAAGAATTTAAGTAATTGAGACTACAGGACCACTTTCTGTCTTTAAACAAATTTATAGTGAGGCAAGATTGTTAAAGAAGTGGCCCAAATACTCTTTGCCCTTGTAGAAATTGTGTTAAGTTAAAAACCCACTAGTCAAATTCATGAAAATAAGTGCTTAATTAGTTTAGTACTGTCTGTCTGCCCCTTTGTACACTCAAAATAAAATGAAACTGGCAAAATATGTGGACGAATTACATTTTTATTTTCAATCAATTAATTTAAACAGATACATATTTACAAAGTAAGTGACATTATAAAAATATACTTAAGTTTTTCCTGATTACTAAAGTTAAGAACTACCAAAAATTTGGGAAAATAAAAAATAAAAGCAATCAATCACTTCTAATGCTTTCTACTTATAGAAAACTAAAACTGTTTTCCTATATTTGTATGCCACTTTCTTTGTTATCTATTCTTTTGTACTAAGATGTAAAAACAAAAACATGGTCCCTGGCCTTTCCACTATATCCATTTTCCACAAAGCAGCCAGAATTATGGACAAATCTGATCATCTCATGACTTTGACTAAAACCTTCAATGATTTCCCACCATATTGTAAGTAAAAAATGCAAATCTTTGTGCTATGGCCACTCCCACCCCTTCAGCTTCTCCCTCCTTGTCTCTGCCTCGTCCTCCTACACTCCTGCCATATTGGTCTTTGTTTCTTCCAAACATCAGACTCCTTTTTGCCCGAGTCTTTCCAAGGAGAATTGCTATCGGGGAGCCAGAATTAGGGCCCAGGTTTCCTGATTTTTTTCCCCAAATGACACTTCCTCTATAAAGAGACAAAAGAACTATATAATCTTGGTTCCTTTCCATCAACCTCTACACAGGCCTCAGTCTTATAAAGAAAGTGTCCTGCAGAGGACCAAGCCCAAGTCTGATCCCCCTAAGTCCCCCACTGCATCAGGAATAGTTCCCCTTTGTCTTTTAAATGTCCTTTTAAATTGCATCACATGGATATATTGCAATTGAATTTACCAGTGTTATGGTTAGAATGGTGGTCACCACAAATACCACATAAACTTTTAAACATATTTCATATTAGTACTAGGAAGTGTTAATAATAAAACTAAACAGCTACAAAGAACCTAGGGTTTACATTTGTCTATAAAGAGTCCCCTGGAAGAAATAAATCATAAGTCACAGTTAGCTTGAGAAAACAGTACATTTTCTAAAGATTTAAAATGAAAGAAATGATTCTGACCTTTAGCACCACTAATAACAAGTCCAAGTTCTGCACAGACAGAAACACAGACAACTTCATGGTCATGGCCGGTGAGAACAGCTCTTGGTGCAGGATAGTCACCTGTAAGAAAGCAGCAGCAGTGAGTCATTACAGACAATGGCAAACATAAACAGTTCCACCATAAAACCTAACCTTTAATAAGACAATCACCATTTTATTAAGGACCACAGCCAGTTACTTCACATTTCTGATAACTTCTTTATCAAAAAATACTGTACCTACCTGATCACCAACCTCCAATAGAGGCTATTGAAATGACAGGATACATTAATATATGTGATATGCTTAGGATACTAATACAGTGGTACAACTATCCTTTTTCTCCTGATTATTGTTGTGAAACAAACATTGTGCCTTGCAAGGTATCTACATGTGATATCTCATTTAATTATAGTAACATTCCTATTGGGTTGAGTACTATTATTATCCCTATTTTATACTTTGTAGAGTCAAAGCTTTGAAGGTTATTCAAGTTTCCAAGTTCATATATCTAGCAAGTGTTGAATTTGACCCAGAGCTTTCTAATTCTAAAATCCATGCTCTTACTCAGTGAAAAATCTAAAATCTCCATGAAAACAAGCAGAGGTACTTTGCTTTGGGGTGGAGGAGGGAAGAAAGGGAGGGTGAGGAAGGTAGTGACAGAAATAAGAGACAATTATCTTAATTCTGTATCTCACTGGTGCAAACCTAGCTTGAAAGTATTTCATTTTAAATTGCCAGTTTCATCAACCATTATTTTATTCTCCCTGAAAAGAAATGTTGTAACTTGGTCTTGTAACTGCAACTCTATAGTTTCTCTGTATTTCTCAATCTAGTGGATATTTTCTTGAGGGTAAGAAGTTCTATGAAAAAATGTAAGTTTCAAATTTGCATTCTCTGTACAATTCCAAAATAAATAAGTAAATCTAAAAATTGTATATATTCAAGATGTACAATGTGATGTTTTGATGTATGTATTACTATAATAAAAAATTCCTTATGTTTGTTATATACTTTTTTAAATTAGAAAATATATTTTAAAAGGCTTCTGTCTGATTTAGAGAGCTAAGATATTTTATTTTTCATTGTAATTTTCTCAAATTGGGGCTGGGATTGTGGCTCAGAGGTACAGCGCTCCCCTAGCATGCATGAGCCACTGGGTTCCATCCTTAGCACCACATAAACATAAAATAAATATATTGTGTCCACCTATAACTAAAAAGTAAACACTAAAAAAATTTTCCCAGATCATTTGAATAAATGGTGGAACTTAAATTCCCTTCAAAGATGTCCAACTTCAGCTGGGGAAAAGTAAATAAAATGTTACTCTAGGATTTTTGAGTTGGGAAATTTGTAGCAAGGAGAAAGCATATTTCTGTTCCAGGGCTATATGTCACACACTCCAACAATTCCTTAAAATCTTGGGAATATTCTTTCACTGCCACATCACAATTGATGGATGTAGTTCAGGGTTAAAGGGCTGAGCGCAGAGGGAGGTGCAGGTGAGATCTCCCCTCTCAGGACGACAGTACCACGGCCTTCATCCTGGCTCATTTCCTCAACAGAAGAGCTCTCTGTGAGGGAATGGATATGAATGATAAGGAATAAACACATCTGATTTTAAGATTCCTCATAGGCAAGCATTTGGAAATTCCAAGTATAAAGGGCTTAAAAGAAACAGAATTCATCTCATTTTTATCAAGTCATTTCCAAATTCTTGAAACAGATAAGAAAATAATTAAATAGATATTAAATGCAGCTATTCACAGAGAACTGACAAGGGAGAAATTTTTCAGTGAGATGGTGTATGGCCTTTAGAGAGATGATCAAAGTAAAAGTTACTCATGGTTCTTTTTTAAACCTCAGTTGTGGGCTATTAATATTCAGCAAAAGCTTTGATTCTTATGAAACATAGCTAAGCAGGGACAGTGGATTCTCCTAGACCTATGCTTCTTTGTGCCATTCTGCTGGAATTGGAGGACAAACCTCTTAGTGACATATAGCATTCAAATTCTATTTCTGACCTTTCCAACTCATTGCAGAATCATGGTAGAAGCTGTTTTCATTCATTTTATATTTACATAAAATATGACAGATTTTTAATTAAAATTCCAGAATAAGAGATTTAGTTGGTTTCATTGCTATTATGATTTCAAGACATATTTCAAAATGGTATGTTATAAACTTGCTGGGATAACTGAGAATAGTTTCAAAGTCTTCATATCAGAATACTGAGTCCTCAGCCACAGGCTGGGCTACCACAGAGGCCTGGTGCAAGTCCCCAATATACCTGGGCCCACATTCCCCAAGGCCAAAGGGGCCACAATTGAAAATAGTACCTGGGTTGGAAAATGTCAATTGGTCCACATTCTGGTTTCCTTTGATTACATACTCAAAGTATTCAATGAAGAACAGAAGATGGATATGCTAAATCTATTTATTAATTCACACTAAATTCCTTTTCCTCTTCTCATGTGACACTGACTGCATTTTGCTCTGAGCATCATAGGGACAGCCCAAATATCATTCCCTGAACTCCTGAACCTGGATCTAGGTCACAATCCATTGCTTATCTTTTTCTCACCTTCCCCAAATAATCAAATTAAATAATCTACCTACTGGTCTGTGCACTGAAGCTACCTGTCACAGAACAAATTAGTCACTCTTGTGTTTTATATTGCTTCCAACCTAGACCAAAGACCTTTCTGGAAGCCTTAGGCCCCTAAAAAGAAAGAAAACGCACAGACTGAGTGGAAAGAAGGTTGCTTTCCAATGACAAACCTTAAATGTCTCCAATCTGAGACTGAGGGGATGGGACACTGATGGTCCACTGCATCCCTGCCTGGGCTAGGATGTTCCATTACATACATGGCTGTGGAACCCACAGAAAGTCCTATGAGGTGAGAATTATACATCTGAATATGTTTCCTGTGATATCCAACAAAAAGACTAAAGGATTAAAATTTATTAAACCCTAGATAACATTCCTTGTTCTGAAGAGTGACACAAACTCATCTATTATGTATAAATATAAATATACTTTGAAAATATATCTGGGCTAGTTTTTGTCCAGCTCTCATCTCCTATAATACCATTGGCTAGTGGCAGTTGTGGTACTAGGCACAGGACAGTCTTTTAAAAGAAGGCTGGATGTAAACAAAGAGAGGGATGTGATTTGGCAGATGTTTCATGACAGGCTGAGGCTGGTGGGAGCGTCAGCATCCAGAGCTGAGTCCTATACAATGGGAGCCCAGGGAAGGTACGTGTGCACAGCTGGACGCTTCTTTTCAATTGGCTTCTCATTTCAGAGTCTGCATAATGCTTTTATAGGAGCTAAAAGATCTGTGTTTAAAAGATGGAGTAGAATAGCACATAATAGTGTCTTATACATATTACTCGGTGAATCTTTGTAGTTATGATTTGAAAAGAATAGTAAATTCCCTTTCAAAGTTTCATATTGCTATGATTTTTTAAAAATTCATATGTAAATATCATCAAGTTTCCTATAAAGCACTTTATATCTGGTATACACATTTAAATTACATATTTTAAAAGCAGATTGGTTTTGAGCTGAGGTCCCAATGTATTTTCAGTGTCTATTGAAGAGACAACAATGTTAACTTGCCCCTCTTGTGACTATCTTGTTGGAAGCTACAGCATGTAATGAGAAATGTCAAGTCCCAAGATCAATGAAGTTTTGGACTCTAGGGATTCAACAGGAATAGCATTGATCCTTTTAAAGAACACCAGTCAGAGATGGGTTGTAATATATTGCAAAGAGGGGCTCCAGAGGATAAGCGGCCAAGTCCAAGCTACCTACCTGACAAAAAATTCAATCAGCTTTTAGCACAAATTGCCTGCTTGCTCTGCTTTCTTTCATGCAGGAGGCTGCTTCCAATTAAAGTGCGCAAATTAATTTTATCACTTCCAAATTAGTTTTAAGTTTGTGTAAGTCTGTTTCAGATGAAAGCATCTGCCCCTTATATCTTTGCAATTCTGCTATCTAGTTAGGGACCTATTTAAAATTTCAAGATAATTTTCTATATTCAAAAGCACACATTTAAAAAAACCTAGTATCAGTAGTATAAAATACATTAATAAAACAATTATGATTAAACTATATCACATTGTAGGAAGTCTTTGCTTGCTTATTTTATGGTCTGAAACTATGTAATAATTTACTTAAAAATTTAACTGGCTTTGTGATAAATTCATTCAAATGGTAAAAATAATTACAAAAGGCTAATATTTTTGAGATGTCTAAATTAGTCACAACAATATATTTGGCACAATGAATCCACAGATTCTTTCTATATCTACCCCAAAATATCTATGAACATTACTTATTTTTCCTCTGGAATTAATAGAGCTGTCCATTACAATGTAATAGTGATAATGTAAAAGAAACAAATACATTAAATCCACTTGAATTTATCTTGAGATTTCAGTGACGTGCACATAAAGTTAGATGATAAATACTGTCATTTCATGGTGTTATAATTAACAAGGATGATTTGACCTCTCAGCCATACAAAGTGAGTCAATGTCTATTACAAGACCAATCCCTGAATTATAACAGCTTCTAGGATATTATGTTTCTTACTAGGAGTTCCCCTTCAAATCTAGGTTAATACATACAACCTCCAAAACCTAAGGGCATTGTGTCACACACTTTAATATGAATTTAGACATAACTAGTTTTTTGCTTTTGTGTAGCAACACATTATAAGGCAGAAAATATATATAGACTGATTATCTGGCCTATGAATTGGTATTTAGAGTAGATTAAATTGGAGGAGGAAAAACAACATCCTTTTCTTTCATACTGCAAGTTTTATAATGGCAAAAACTATGTATATACAGATTTGACAGTCAAATCAGTGTGTGCTGTGACTGCCTTTAAAAAAAAATAAGTGAATTGACCAATATGTATAGTTGCTCTACTCAGACACATATATGCTACTATAGTGGTTGGTCATTTTAAACAAATAAGTCATAAATCAGTCAATTCAGTCAAATAATAAATCTGATTTATTTTATTTTATTTTACTCTTATGATTATTCTTATGGCAAAAAGCTGAAATCAGCCTTTTTACCCAATCATCAATTTATACCCAAGATGTAGTATGAAGTGCTCTTGGATGGTCAAAGTACTTGTGGTGCAAAATACTATCTGCTAAAATTAATGATTCATGTAACAAATACACACTGTACTCAAAATATTCAAAGAGGAAAAAAAGTTCTGTGATCATCATAATATAGATTCTTAAAATTCCAGATTAGAGACTTTGACCATCCAGTATTTCCAGCTGCTATGAGAGTACTAAGCATACATAGTTGTTTAATACATACTTTTTGCTTGACTAATACTATAGGCGTTCATCCTGTTTACTACAGAAGAGCATTTCTCCCCTATACTGAGGATAATGGAAGGTATACTACATATCTCCATGTTAAATATTCAATAAAAATTTGACAGGGTAAATTTTATGGAAGTGGTGTAGCTTCATAATGATAAGACTTTTTGACCAAAAAATAAATTCTTATAAAGGCAATACTGAAAAACACATATTGATAATCTCTGTAAACTTCTTAAAGATAATCTTACTCTTTTTCAACACTTGAATAAAACACTATTTTTAACAAATATAATAACCACAATTTTTTTCTTAAGGGTTAATAGAAACACTTTGTATTCACATAGCTTTTGTCCTATGGAACTTCAAACATTTCAAATATTATTGTATTTAACTTTTCTTGCTAACTCATTATCCTAAGCTCCAGTTGACAGTCAACTGTGTTTTGATTAAAAGATCATTAGAAATAAAGTAGTACTGTTATTACTATAGTTTAACACTTTAAAGTTCTTTATCTAAAATATACTATGTTTGATACCAGATGGCGGCTTTTACTAAATGAATTCCCATTTTGGAAATAACGTTTGTATCACTCTGAGACTCATTTTTAAAGATGTTAATTGTACTTAAAGCTCTAGTCTGCTTTTTTGGAAAATTTTTCTAATCATTTTTGTTAATATACATATAAGATGTTACACAGACCTGATGTTTCATTGAATATTTTTAAGTAATGCTACCTTACTATGGAAATAAATAAAATTTAGAAACACATAAAACTACTTTTAAATAAAATGCATGTGATAATGTACCATGTTTGAGAATTAAAGTCATCATCAGTAGGTCAAAGATGACTTAGCAATACCCACACACATGCACACATAGGCACACTAAAATCTGTTTTAAGGGCAAGATTTTAAAAGAGTAAATAGGATGCTAACTTACTAGTATTTATAGTAAGATTCTCACTGGCAAACTATTATTTGAACTGGTTAGAAATCAAGCAGCACTGAATACTCCCCCCGCCTCAAATAAATATTGCGTATTCCTTCACAATTTACTTATATGTGAATTGAGACATAGGTTTAACATACACCTTTTCTCACACTCTTTGCCAAGAGATATATATTACTTCACAACATGCTTTCAATTTCTTCATCCACTGTTCTTCATCCCTAGCTATGGGCAGTAAGAATAAAACTTCACATATCATTTGGTCACCTAGTATAATCTTCCAGTAATTTCTTAATTGCATATATTTGCATATTCTCTCCTGTACTATGACAGAGTCTTTGTTCCCGTCCATCAAAAATCATCTACTATTTTTGCAGTATTCCTGTCAAATTACGTATGAGTTAAGGGAAAGAGTGAGACTTGAATGGCAGATGTTCCATTCCTTTCCTTCCCCAGTTATCTCATAAGGGTGGCAGCTCAAGCCATAAAGCTCTAACATGGCATCTTGTAGATTTCTAATCTACTCTTAGAGTGTTTCAGTTGCAGATACACAGGATTCCTAGGAAACTCTTATGTCTTTTGTCATAGATATTCCCTATTCTCATGAGTGCTGTTTGTTGTGACTGATGTATGAATTACAATTTGAATAATCTTGCTATAAGTACTTTCTATTCTTGACACTTCACAGAAACCACATACATTTGAACTATTTTACAGAAAACACATACATTTGAACTATTGAAAACTTGGTAATGAAAGAGCAGTAATTATTTCTGGGTAATCTAGCTCTTCTATCATTTAACAATATTTACTGGAGGAGCTCCAGTGGCATTTTCCACTAGCATGTGGTACTTATAAGCCAGTACTTACTGGAAACCTCTTATGTATGTTACTATGCCAGGACCTTGAAACACCTGTGACCTACTTCAGTGTTTCCTCAGGACAACAGTGCCAAGGACTAAGTCCTACTTTTACATAAACAAAACGTTCCGTGGGAAAATAAGTTTGAGAAACTGTGGGTTAAACAAAAGTCAACAGAGATATTTGTGTAAGACTTTCAAAGCTTACACAGAGAGTTAGAGTCCATGCAGTGCTTCCCCAATTGTTTTACTAGGGAGTCTTCTTTTCCTACAGGACTTCTTAGAGTGCACTGATGTATAAAAACTACTTGAGCATCCCAAGGAGTTAGCAGTCTTACTCAGTTTTTGCATCCCCAGCACCTAATCTGAGAGGTTATTCAATGACTATTTGTAAATGAAAAAAAAGGAGAAATTTTTTGTACTACATGGTAGAAAGTAGTAAATTCACTGAGAGAGGCACAAATAAAACCTTAGGAAAATCCAGAGAACGGATAGATTATATTCAGCTGAGCAAAATTATGAGGCTTGGTGAACCAGATGAAGCTTCTGAAGTGTGTGGATGCCTGGACACTGTGGATGACTGACAAACAGGTCAGAGGGAGGGAATCTGGGATCCCAGGCTCAAAGCATTAGTGTTTGTTTATACTCTGAACATAGCTACATTCTGATGAGATGAAGATTTCTGCCACTTAAATTTTCACATTTTAAAATCCTTACAGTCTCAGGAAAACCTATTAGGAACATCAAAAATGCAAAATACATTTAAGTTATAAACTGACAGAATAATTCTAGATAAATACTCACTGCTATTGGGGTTGTCTCCTATGATATGGTGCCGCCCACTCCAGTACCAGAGAAGCAAGGTGGCATCCCGAGATCCAGACACGATGTAGCAATCCCCTCCAATGTACGACTCTGACCGGGCCAGACATGTTACCACATCCCAGTGGCCAAATACAATCTGAGTCAATTTCCCTGCAGTACAGAAATGACAGGTTTCCTTAATTACTCTTTTTATTTAGATGGTAATAGCTTAGCTTTATTTCACTAAATCTGTGTGAAGTGAATCTATAGACCCTTTGAATTTAGTTACAATTCCTATTTCTGAGAACTAATACAAGAATGTTACTTGGAATTTTTAATAAAAGATCTTAAAAGATAACAATCACATTATTTTTCTCTTCATAATTTGAACTAGACTAAAGGGAGTTTTAAGATCATTCACTGGATATGAACTTGGAGGAGAAAACAATCACATTTGTCATACAAATTCAGGGATCATGCTAAAGTTCAGAAATGGATGGTGTTAAAATTAGTTATTTAGCTTCTAATGTGAACTATTTTACAGAAAACACATACATTTGAACTATTGAAAACTTGGTAATTAAAGAGCAGTAATTATTTCTGGGTAATCTAGCTCTTCTATCATTTAACAATATTTACCAGAGGAGCTCCAGTGGCATTCTCCACTAGCATGTGGTACTTATAAGCCAAATTGTATCAAATTAGATAATTTGAATCCTGACCACTGACTCAAATCTGGCAAATGATGGAAATGCCTATAATATTTAGTATAATTTCATGTAAGCTCTGATTTGTAGCAATAGTTATTTTAAAGAGAACAAACTATTTCATAGTCAAGATTACCTGTTTCTGTAGAATAAACTCTGAAGCTTTTATCCCAGAATCCACAGATAAGAATATAGCGATTATCTGCAGTGACCACGAAACAATGTGCATTGATTTGTATACTCTGGTCCACGAGATCTGTGATCTGTCGTTTGTTCACACCAGAGTTATTGGCTAAAAATAAATAGAATTTAAAGAAGGATTTCAAAGAATTTCACCAAGCACTCAAAGGGGACAAAAATAATTTTATCCTTATTTATCTAGAAATAGATTTTTAAAACTACAATATTATTATGATTCTGATATTTTCTCTTGAGGAATATAAATTTCCTTAGTAGCAGGGATTATTTAGGAAACACATATATATATTTAAAAACTATCCCAGAAACGTTCGTTCTTCCTCCACTGATAAATAAGAAGAGTATGAAGAAATCAATACAATGAATTTAAGACATAATAAAAATATTTAAATGTATTTAGTTCTCTAGATGGTTGGTGTGCACAAGCTCATTAGTGTCCAATGAGAACCAAATGAAGGATAAATATGATATGAAGTATGCTATACAAGAAAAAATATCCTAACATTTGCCAATCTGTCATTTTCTGATGGCATTTACAATTCATGTGGAGAGAAGAAGGTAGAGATCTGAGGAAGGGATTTTGTTGTGTGGGAAGCCCCACAGGGAGCTTTAGGTCAGCAGCTTTAAAGACCTGGATTGTCAACAAACAGAAGGCCTTTCCAGAATGGGCTGGCAGGGAGGAGAGGAATAAAAAAGATGGGAGAGAGATGGGGGAGGAAAGAGACAGGCAAAGATTCAGTGTACAGCACTGGGATTGAATCTGAATAAAGTCAGGAACTCAGAGACACATCTGATTTCCCCAGTGCCTGTCTGGATGCCAGCCTGTCCCCTACGCTAGGCCATCCTTTCAGGAGAAATCCCCAAGCTGAATTCTTAAACAGAAAATGCAGATGTAGAAGGTCACCACCACCACCACTCTCTAACACCAATTAAATCTAAAAGTGCCACTATTTGTAGATATCTACTAATGCTATAAAAATAATTACTAGGGAAGGTAAGCAATAAAAGAAGAACTATATTTATAAAAAAGGCAATAAAGGAAAAGCAAACCAAAGGTCCTGGGTTGCTGCAAAACTATCTAATTGGTTCTAGAAAAATTAGAATAGAGTTATTAAATTTTCTATGGTTACACACTAGCTATATAATTCATTGTCAATGTCTGTTCCTCTGTTGGACAGAGGAATAGATAGCTAGACTCTAAAAATACTCCTAGTCCTGAACCTTGTGTCCTTTCCAAGACACATAAAAGCCATTTTATATGGAGTTATATGTTATGAATAGAAATGGCCATAGTCTCTTAGTTCAAAGATGAAAACTGAATTACTATAAGAATAAAACACAATAAATTGTATATAGCTCAATAATTTTTCAAAATATTTTTAGGTCTTTTTCTTATTTTAATTTTCTAAATAATTTTGCAGGATAGGCAGAATAAACATTATTATAAACCATCTCAGAGATATGAAACTGAGAGTCCTAGAAAGATTAAAAGGCATGCTCGGGATTATATGGCTGGTATATGTATGTAATTATTTGAAAATATTTTCAAAATCTGCCACAAGCACTACAGCTCATGAGTTTGCAATTCATATGAAATATTTAAAAAATGTTTAGCACTATTCAATAGAGATTTCTAGAAAATGTGTTCTTCAGTATTAGTTTCCATTAACAATCTCTGCAAATCTTTATATTTTAAATAATGTATAATTTTTAAGAATACTTTAGGCTGAAACAAAGGACAATCTATAATTATTTGCTTTGTTTATAATCAACTTAAATGACCTCTTACAATAACAAGAAAATGTCATAAAAATTGCTTTAGTACTAAGGTTTTAAATGGTATGTTATGATTTATGCATCTCCTTGACAGTAATAGGATGCTATGTGACCATTAATTTTATAGCAGAAAAAATATTTTTAACCATATTTTTTTGGAAAAATAATAATGTAAAAATACGTGGACAGTATCCATGAAAATTTATTTTTGTTTGTTAGCTTACCAATTAATGGGTCCATTTCAATGGGAAGATGATGGGCTTGATCCAAGGAGTATCCCGGAGCTCCTCTGAGGCCTAACGGTTTAAAAAGAAAGAAAAAACCATCATGAAATTATCAGAAAGAATTTCCTAACAAGCTGTGTTATATCATGATTACACAAAATACATATTTGTTTAAAAATTGTGGTAAATTATTTTAATAATGATTCAGACATATTGTGTGACTTTGTAGGTAGTCCTAAAAAAAATCACTTATAATATGGATAAAGCTGTACAGACTGATAAGAAAAAGCTGGATACCCAGAGAAACCAACTGAAATGCCCTTCAGTAGATGAATGGATAAAGAAAAGTTGTTATATATACACAATGGAATAGTATTTAGCATTAAAACATAATAAAACCATGGCATTTGCAGATAAATGGATGGAGCTGGAGAATATAATGCTAAGTGAAATTAGCCAATCCCAAAAAACCAAATGCCAAATGACTTCTCTGATTTAAGGATGCTGATTCATAATATGCTACAGAGGGTGGAGATGGGAGGATTAAATGAACTCTAGATAGGGCAAAGGGGAAAAGAGGAGAGAGGGGAAGGGAGGGGGCACAGAGGTAGGAAAGATGGTGGAATGCGATGGTCATCATTACCCTGAGTACATGTATGAAGAAGACACGAAGGATGTAACTCTACTTTGTGTACAACCAAAGATATGAAAAATTGTGCTCTATATGTGTAATATGAATTGTAAGATGAATTGTCATATATAACAAATAAAAATTAAAAAATTATAATTAAAAAATACAATTAAAAAATACAGAAAAAAACCAAAAAACAAGAAACAGGATCATGATGCTTCTTGAATCTATCAGAAAACCAGGGTTACCAGGCAACCAAAGTCTGCTCTCAGAGAAAAGACCATGCTACCAATCTGGATGATGTAAGCATGGGTTCCCTGGGATAGGGTAGGGTGGAAGCCGGGGCTTCCACCCAAGGGAACCCTCTTTTAACATATGATTGTTGAAGGTATGAAATACCAAACCTAAAATCTTAATATCACTAAAAGTTACTTTTGGAGGATTAACATTTGGGCTTGATTGAGTTTATTAGTTACATTTTTTCAAATGATTACAGACAGTACTTAGGAACAATTTAAAAATCATACTTTATATTTTTCCCTTTATACAAAATACTTCTATAGGCTAAGGCTCCTGTGAATAATGAAGTCATACTTTTTTTTCTTTTAGATGTTTGCTGCATATTTCTGACTGAATGGCAGTTGTGCTACCCCATGTTGTTAATGTCATCAATAACCATAAAATAGGTATACTTTCAAACTCTTCACAGATAAAGGTACCGTGTAAATCACTGTATTTTTCAGAGCAAAGTAGAAGTCAGCAGGCTAGAAAGAGTCAGGCTAACTCAGCAGGGCTCATCTGCTCAGGTCTGGAAACAGTGGGATTCCTGTGGCTTCCAGGGAGATCTTAAGTGGTAAACTGGGCCAACTAAATCATTTGGTCATATCTACTTCTGCCCAGGTTAAATACATATCAACATGTCTATATTTTTGTGACAGCATTTCATCCTTGAAGATGTACTAGGTAGAACATTTAGGAAGGAATATGGGGTAATCATGTGAAATGACTGAATTATTTAAAGTCTTTTTTCAAAGATTTTAAGTTCCACAAGGATAGAGATGGTGTTTGTCTTGTTCATTGCTATATTCCAAGTGCTATATGCAAAATGGCCATTCAAATATTTGCTAAATAAATTTATGACACTGAAGAAAGAGGACTTGAAGCTATTATTTGGAAAATCCAAATCCAAACTCACTTTTGTTTAAAATGGCATAAAGTGGAAGTGTGGGATGTCAGTGATAGAATAGGGAGAGGGAGGATCTGAATTATTTGTAAAACTGCTTCAGTTTATCAAAGATGTATTTAGCATTTAACCACACACCATAGACCTCTATATATAAACACTAAAATACAGTGAAGATGACAGACCAGAGTCATTTAGCTGGGCTTGATGATGATACACTGGGCTGTTTCTTGTGGATTATCTGCCAAGGAGAGCTACCTCGAGAACACCTCTCTTACCTTAACTCTTCAGTGAATGCCTTGCTTAGGACCACATACCTACTGTGTTGTGCCATCTATTGACTGCAAATAGACGGCTGCAGGTCACTGTTACCACTGCAGGGATGGTCAGGTGGGGTAGGGTGTTGGCAGCCACGTGAGTTACTGGAGAATTTGATGGAAACTTCAGCACCATTATCACATCCTGTTGCATCTGATCTTTAAACATGAGGGGGCTCTGTGGAAGGAAACACTGTTGAGTAGAAAGGGAAGAGAACAGAAGGAAACAAAAGGGATAACAAGGTTAGTGGAAGGTGCGGGGAGGAGGAGGTTATAACAGATAAGGCTAGCATGAGCACATGCAGGGAGATCCGAGCCATCTGAACCATGCTACTGGCCAAAGTCTGTCCAAACAGAGCAGTTTTCACTTGAGGATGGCACAGAGAGAAGAGAGCAGGCACTCTGACATCACTGATACAGGATGCCGGAAGATTAACAATTAGTCTCAATTTGGATGTAGCCAGACTACCATGTCAAGAGTTAGCTCACAGACACAGCCACAAGATGGAACCTAATTGTTCAGAACAGTTGAAAAATCAGTTTGGTGGAAAAATTTGTCAATCAGTGACTGATATTGTTATATGAAATACAAAGTGAATTGATTGATATCTTCATTTCTATCTGGCTGATCTGAGGTCCCAGCTACAGTCTAAATAATTAAAATATATAATGGTCTCCATAAAGCAGCCAGAGGGCTCCCCTGTCAGTGTTTTCACACACATTTCTGCTCTGGCACCGATTGCCTGCCTCCTTTCTCCCTTCTAGATTGGGAGTTTGCTGAGAGGCTATGCTTTTACTTCTTTTTTTCTCTTTTTAACCTTTGTTTTTCAAAACAACTAGTACATGACCTGATAGAAAGTAGATACTACAAGTACCAGAAAACACTATAAATAGTATTATATAGAAAACACAAAATAAGAATGCTGGAAAGAATCATGATTTAGCTTCCATACATGGTTTATAATTGTTTCCTCTATATATGAATCCTCTGATGACAATAACTTAGAAAGCTTAGATCTTTCTTTTTAAAAAGTTCCATGCCAATTTAGTCTCTAACAATTTCCCCAAGGAAAGTAATAAATTCTGACTGGGCATTCCTCCAGGATAACTATTATTATTATTATTATTAAAACTAAGGAGGAAATAAAAATTCTTCTGCCAAACCATTTCATAAAATAAAGTGTTACAGATATTCTCCTGGACAGTTTATTAAAAATGCCTCATCTGGAAGCTCCAGGCTCCAAGGTCACATCTCCACATCTATACTGGGGCTGAGAGTTAAGCCTGTGCTTGGTGCAAACAGAAGGGCCAACTTCAGTGAAAAGAGTTCATTACTGACTAACCAAGGCAGCTGGAACTGTTTGGCTGAACTAATGCTGACAGTTATCTGCCACTGCACCTCCAATGCTTACATCATATCTGATACACAGAAGGCTCAATAAAAATTTGTTAAATAATTGATAATTTGCTGAACAAATGAAAGGAATGAATGATTCTTTAATCACAAATAACAACTTATATTTACAAATATATGTACACACACACACACACACACACACACACAAACTATATCCAGAACACATCACTCCAAAATGAGGGTACTTATGTCTTGATGATGGACTAGCAAAATCGATGAACTGTAATTCATTTTGAAAACATTTTTTGCCTCAGGCATTTTTTGCCAAAAAATTGGTGAAAAATTAGTTTAAAATACATTCTAAGAAAATTTTTACCTTCTTCAAATCAGCTAAAGAGGGAAATATTTACTAAATTCTGATAAACTGAAAAGGGACAGCTGTTACGAAAATGGACTTTTAAAATATGATTAAAATGAAAAGATAGGAAGTTTTCATTGTGAAGTGGGCATAAAGGTTTAATATGAGTGTATGGCAAGGATATTGGCTAGCGTTAGGAACTAAAGAATCTAAATACTTTGCCTGAGTCATCTACTTGTGAGTGATGGGTCTGGCACAAGTGTGGTTCCGGGGCCCTTAAATTCTCACTCCCTCTGTTCAACAGCCTCTCTGCAGTAGCCATAAATTAACCCTGTATTTCTTTCCCTTTTGTAAAATGAACATTCTCCTTACCTCACCCAGCCATCCAAAATTAAATTTGGCAATATCATATTGTGTTTATATTTTCACTGTAATTTACAAATGTAATTTAATTTTGGTGCCAGCATGTGTCTTTATGCCTGTATGTGCATGAATGAGTTTATGCAGAGGCATACACAGAGAAGATAGCTAATTTTTATATTTTATTTCTAAAATGGGGCTAGCTTAATTAGTGGGATTCAAAACTAAGAATCATACTCCCATCTCTCTTTCTCCCTGGCGTACCAATATGTCCTTATGCTGAAGAGTTAACCAGTAGCAAATTGAGAAGCCTTTAAAAATCAATGTTTTATTTGCTCTATACCCAGGTACAAAAGAAAGGAAAAAAAACCCTCAACATGCTGATATGTCTTACCAGGTGCATGGCAGAACTCCGAGGCGGATGTGGCTCAATAAGCAACTGAGATGGCGTCTGTCCAAAGTTCTGTATCTGTGCCTCCATGGCCTGCAGGGCAAGGAGGGTGATTGTCATAATCAATATGCATCAAAGAGAGAGGTCAACACACTCTTTGACAATGCAAGTGTATCCCAAGTCAGCCATGAAAAAAGTCCAGAAAATTCACCGGGTGCTCTTTTCTCAGGGTGCAGAATCATCCAAGTGTTAGTATTTTGTAGACAAGCTTTGCTTCTTCTTCCAAACATGCTTCAGTTAACCACATCACTATTCTTATTACCAGAAGCTGGGGTTAAATGTGGAAAGGCTAACCTGTGAGTTCATGCATGCAGCTAGAGACCAAAGAATACTTCAAATATTAAATACAACACATATACCTTAATAAAGTCCTTTGTAAGGAGGAATGTATGAGGATCTCTAATAAAATAAGTTTCTGGAATCTTAACAGGAAAAAGAATGAGACACAAAGTCCACCACTGATATAAAATAAAAATCAGAAAATCATATATTCTAATCAATTCAGAGGGCAAACAGTACAAAGAACACTACAAATTTTGTATAATAATTTAATATGGCAAACTTTTCCTTAAAATACATTTCAGCTTTCTAGGCTATTTTAGGAGGAATTATGAAATACTACTCATATGTATGAATCATTTCTTTCACATTTTTTTTTCTGAAACTTTATTAGAACTCACCCAAAAGTAAAAGAATTCTTTGGATATCCTGAGCTATATATTTCATTAAGGCCTATGCAAATGGAAATATTAATGAGGTTTTATGGTTTCCAATAAATAAAAATAATTTAGACAGAAAATTGTCTGGCCATACAATATACCTTTTGGTGTGTATGCCAGAGGTACTCTTACAGGAGACTTAAGTAGTCTATAAATGAATTCTATAGGCAAAATATTTCAACATACTAAGCCAGACTATGAAATATTTTTACTGAAATATTGTAAGTATGTAATTTAAGTCAACAGGGGAGAAGCACAAAATTTACTGTAATCATTACTCTGTTACTATGCTAATTTTTCCCCCTAAAATTGTGTGCAATTTTGTTGCACATAAAAGTGAAATAGGGAAACCATTGCTGAGTTCTTGAAGGAGCGCAGGTAAGTTGGTAGATGGCTCTTGACACAGCTACACCACTAATCACATTGCTATCTACAATTCTCATTTATAAAGTACTTAAATTTAACACTCTGTCTTCCTAGACTGCATTTCAAGAAAATGTTTATCAATAAAAATGTGGAATTTCAAATTTATTAGCAATATTAAACATGAATGCATCATTATCCACCATATTTTAATAATTGCATAAATGGGGTTTTGGTCCTTTTATTTGCAGGGGCTATGGGATGAATTATTAAATCTCTTTAAGTGCTGTCCAATTTTAATGTATACATTTATTTGCATGGTGTCCACTCATATGCAAAGTGTGGCTATTTAACTAAATTGTATTCGCATAGATACCATCATACTTTGTCTCCCCACTGCAAGATTTATGATTATAAAAGAGGGAAAAGGCCATTTCTGGTTTGGTTCACATTATTAACAATAAACTCTTGAGAATTATTTTGGAAAAAAAAAGAGCAGTAATTTTATTGTTAAAGCTGCCCTGGTTAGCAAATATCCAATATCCAGCTTCATGTATCACATGTGGCTGAAATCTCTCTAACAATAGGTACTTTTGCCAGTGTTTTTACTCCTCCAAGAAAAAGAGCCCCATAGGGTCAAGAAGCTGGGGGTAAAATTAAACACAGCTAATCTCTAGATTAATGCCTTGATCTTAGGCAGATCACTTAAGGAATGAATCAGTAAAATGCTTCACTTGACTTCAATTTTGTTTATTTTTGTAATTTTGGAAATATTATGAAAGTGACATAATTTTCAGAAATTTTCTGTATAGATCTCTTGTTAGTAGGTTCCACCTCTGATCCTTGGATTGTAGCACAGCACAAATGCACACATATATAAATGATTCCCAGATGGCATCAGGAGATGGGATTGATTGCATCTTTTTATTATGACAGTTTATTCCTACATTGAACATTTATTTCTTTTGAATCCGTCTTCCTTGTGTTCTAACATCATATACCTTCATGACCCAAAGAATCTTACTCCAATATCTACCTTTTAGCTATCTTGTAATCCTGCCTTTTAGTAATTCCTTGCCCTCTGACTTAACAATATACAAATCTTTCTGATGCTAGTAAAGTGTGTTCTCTTTTTGTTACTGACGTTTGGATGGGAAATGAGTACCTATGGACTTTTTTTTTTTTTTCGCCTACTCTCTGCATCCTGTTTCTGTCCCCCTTTTTAAGAGAGTCCTTCCTTGTGGGGAGGTAGGTTCTGTGATGGGGAGAGTTGCCCACTGAGATACAGGGCATTCTGTAGCACATGAATCTCAATAATTAAGGACAATTAAGTCCTTTTGCTGAGAGCTACTTCCTCCTCTAATGCTGACCTTGGGTAAAGATCTCAATCCTTTGCTTCCCAGACTCTGCACAACACAGTGAATGCCCTCCATGTTCTCACAGCACATTCTCACCCTTTATTATGGCATTTAACATTACAATTAGCACGTGTGTCTCCTCTCTCAGACTGTGAATCTCTGCAGGTCAGAAGTATGGCTTAGTCCTAAAAGAGGCTCAAATTATTTGCTAAATATAGAAGTGAGGCAATAGCAGGGCATTTGTGCCAAACTAAAAGTCATTCAAGAAAAAAAAAAGTGTACAGATGCCAGAATTAGAGCAAGCTTCAAAGTCCTTTGCTTACGCAAATGAATGTCACAAAAAATATTGACAGTCATTTGTTGAATGCTTACCCTGTGTCAAGAGATACACATTCAGACACCAGACTGCCCTCAGGAAGTTTGCAACCCCAGAAGGAAAGATGTGCCTATCAGTGTACATGGCAGGTACAAGGACTGTGCTGAAGCCAAGCCCAGACTGCCCTGAGTAGGCTCTTAGGAAAGGGACTTCCAGAAAAAGGACATGAAATGAATTTGGAGATTAAGTAGGAATTAGCTAGTCAGCAGCATGAAAATCAATTTGAAATATTGAATTGTTCCATTAATAATTTCCAAATCAATACATCAAATTAAAATGCTACTTGGAGCAATTATTAGAAATTCTTTCTGTATTATCAAAAGTGATATTTTAAAAGTTACGTAAATTATAATTTCTTCCTCTATGTTCTGCATGTATCAGAGAGATTCAATGTCACCTTTATTCATAAAACATATTTATTGAGCATCTGCTACACAGCAGGTAGCATTGTAGATATCTGTAATACTCATCAAACAAAACAGAAAAGTGTATCCTGCCTTCACAGAGTTTACCTTCCAAATGAAGTCACACACTGGTATCCATGAGCTAGAGAGATCACGGACAGGATTTCTATTTGAGTCAACATTTACAGTTTAAGAGATTTCATACAATAAATTGGATTTTTTACACTTTTCTCCCCAAATTAGAAGATCTGGCAATATCATATCCGTGTTCCTGCACAGCAAAACTACCTGGTGCTAAGGCATAGCTGCCCTTTTGTAAGGCCCATCACTCCCTGGACCCATGCACGGACTGCTGGTTGGCCTATTTCACTTGCTTATTCTCTGTCTGGTTTTTACAAACTATGGAGTGTGTGAATCCTTTTGAAATCTAATAACTATGTGTGTTCATGAGCCTGCATAAAGTATATGGCAAAAACCTGAAAGTCCGTCTATCAGACTTTACAGAATCCAAGATGTTACCCAATACTACCCCTATTATGTACATCATTATTGTACATACCATTAAGAAGTAGGAAATGCTCCAATTAAACCATGATACATCACTGACTGATAAACAAATTGCATTGGGAGTGTTGAGGTATGAAAATGATGTGCATCTTAGAATCAAGGAAGTATAGGAAATTTGCACATATAATAAATAGTGATAAAGCTTACATCTCATACAAATCTGCCATGTATATACGCTCACAAACTAGAATTTTCAAAACCAACGGCTGCCAAACCTTCCATATTTTACAAATATGAAATACCACGTAATCATTGGTGAACAACCCTTTTTGTAGAATAACATGAAAATATGGATTGGCTTATGCTTAAATAACAACATTGTTTCTTAGGCCTTTGTAATCACTGAATTTGGTATTTTGGACTTAAGCTTCCTTTGTGCATCAGTTACAAGTTTCTTATTAAAGGTTTAGGACTGATAAAGTACATAAAATATACTCATCTTAAGTACTGAATGAGCATGTGTGTGCATGTGTATGTGCATGTGCAGACCTTTGTCTTCCCTTTTGGAGACAGAGCACTTTGGAATGGAACTGGAAGTCTCCGTATCCTGACTGGGTGGTGGTAGCAGGAGAGTATACATTTGTACAGATAACACTGTGCCCCTCCCAAGCCAATTATTCCCATTCCACATCCCTGTTAAGCTAATCATTATTTTAATATTTATCACTATTGATGTTTTTTTTTCTTGAATTTCTGATAAATGGAATCACACAGTACATATTTTCTTTGTCTTTTTTTGATCAGTATAATGTCTCTGAGATTCATTCTTTTTATTTGTGTATATCAATGGTGTGTTTTTAAATGTTGTACAGCATTCCATTGTTTTAGTCTAACACAATTAATAAATTCTCCTGTTGAGGGATATTTGGGTTGTTAGTAATTTCAGGTTATTATGAATAAAGTTGTTTAGAAAATTCTTACATGTGTCTCTTGATGGCAGTAATTGGACTTTTCTGTGGGGTGTATACCTAGAAATAGGTTTGCTGAGTAATGTGGTAGGAATGTATTTAGTTTTACTGCTCAATTGATACCCCAAATGGTTGTACTGATTTTAGTGTATTTATTTCCTGTGTTCATGAACCTGTCATGTCATCGTCAAACCTGTAATAAAACCTAATTATTTAGATCATGTCCAAACTCAATTGTGTCTTATGAACAGTATGAAGAAAACCATGTTAGTCCTTCACAAAGAATTGTTTAGAGAGGCATAAACATTTAAGTTAGTTTCTTTAAAGTTTAAATTTTA